AGCAAGTGGAAGTGTGATTCAGAAACTTCATCAAGTTGAGGAATAAAAATGCTCCCAGCAGTGGCCTCTGTCTATTTGGGTGTGTGGAATGGATAGCTAGAGTTCCTCACATAATTTAGGTTACCTTACAATTTTTCAAGAAAATCCACAGTCTGGATTCAGTTTACGTAAATAAGAGCTTCAAAACCAAAGTCTCAAACATCTCATTCCATTCTTGCCAACTTCCAGCTGAAGGATATTTCTGATCATGAATTATAATGGTGGAAAATATTGACTGATTCAATGAGAGCAAGACTGAGAGACAGGCAGACACACAGACCACTTCCGAGGAGATGTATCCTGTTTCCTATGACAGGCAGCTTTCTTATTAAAATTATCCCAGTATATACAATCTCTATTCGAGAACGAAGTGCTCATTACAAGTCACTACATAAATAATGTACACTTAAAATGATTCTCTGTGCCATAAATATTGACCTTGGTTAATAATTGACTATGGGATTCTGTGTCTGTTCCCCTCAAACACTACTGACTGAGGGTCTGGACTCTTCTCATGTCATTTCTTTCCTTTCATTCCTGTAAGTTTTTGAGAAGATACAATATTGATACTATCAGTATAACGATGACACAAATTTGGACTGAAGTATGTAACAACTCCTCTACCCCTCTCAGTTCTTGCTTAGTGTCCCCAGGGATTTAATTGGAAAGTGTGAAAAAGATATTTTGAATTAACTCTGTAATTTAATCTGTGATTTCTGCGCTGGTGTTTGCTGTAGCCCCTGTCCAGTTTTGCTTTAACCCCCAGTTAATGTTTATTACAGTAGAATAGATCTATCATTCACTTTGCGAGGCTGGTTCATGAAAAAGTGTCAAAGAGCAGAATATGGACCAAATTTGCTGCTCAAACTGCAGTGGACCCAAGACAGTCTTTGTATATGAAGTTTCCCAGCTTCATGCTTGATAAATCTGTACTGCCTGTACTGAGCACTTGCAAGATTCTACAGATTCATGGAGAAAGAAAAACTGAATGCTCAGAAAATGGTGCCTGGCAGAGCCTAGGTTTACAACTTCAGCCAAGACTCCAGAACAGCTGCAGGCCCTTACTCTGCAGCTCTTAGGCTGGACATGCAGGAAAAATGACTCATACTTCATACACCAACATACCTTATATATCTAGAATGATTTGTCCATAGGGCTTTGACTGGGTCTCCACATGAGATGAAAATTGCAAGCAAAGATAAAATGTGCTGAATGTCCTGCCTGTGGTATTCAGGTACCAGAAGGTAGTCAGGAAAGGCTTTGATAGCAATAGCATGAGAAGATTTCATCAGGAGGTTTTATCCTCTAAGTTCTGACAGGACTTTCCCCTTTTGGACATTCTGCAAATACGTTAAGTCTCACTAAAAATGCTGTGGGCTGTTCCTGCAGTTCCCAGCTTTCCTTTTTCCTCTGGTGACACAGTTATGTCCATACCATGTGGGAGCTCAGAAAACTGTGTCTCTTCTTTCACTCTCAGCCTTTGCAATTCTTAGCCCAATGGCTCCTTGCTTTGAGAGAGAGATATGGAAGATGCTGTCCAACAAGCAACATCTATTTATAGAGGCAGTGAATACACAATGAGTTAGGAGATGGTGACCAAAATGTGGAGCATTGTCTGTGGGCCCTTGAGGACCAATAAAAATAATAGAACTGCAACTGTAAATAGCTTATTACAAACATCCAATTTCTATGCTTGGAATTCAGGACTCTGTCCAGACCATAAAATTAATCCTCATTGCCTGCTGGACCTTGGAAGCTGGGTTCCTCTGCCAAAGGTCACTCAGTTCTCAGTGGTGGCACCAGTGCTGATTTGTTTCGGCTCTGTGCATAAACATTTGCTCTGCTTGGTTACAGGCTGGGATTGCATGAAGTGCATTGGAAAGCAGGGTGAAGTGCTACAGCTCCTTCATAGCTAAGGATTTCACCTCAAGAAAGGGCACATGAAAGGACTTAGGTACTAAAACTTACATGTACTGGGATAGTTAATATAAAGAGAATGCCAAAAAGGTTTTGCCTTGGGTTAATACTTAAAATTGTTGGTGAAGGAATGATGAGAATTTGTAGTCATAACTAAGGTTAGATGTGGTAAAATATATTTTATGTTCAAAGCCAGTTTTAATTTTTACTGTGCCAAGAATGATAAAGTCTGTAATACTTTTTCAAGGATTTAAGATTTCTAATTATTATTTATTAATCAGGAATATTTAGAAATGCCTAAAGGGGCCAAGCTGAGCCGGAGTTTTTTTGCACTGGTGTAACATGCACAGATAAAAACCTGTTGTAAGCCTGTTTGGATTATTATTATTTTAATCTTCTTTTCAAGTGTGTTCCTTCCTCTGTAGAATAAATTTTACAACCTATAAACTGCTTTAAGATCTCTGGTGGTGGTGAGAAATGAAGCAATAACCCCCTCTTACCCCTCTCTTGTAGATCACCATGTAACTTCATAATCAAACTTTTTAATTTAAAGTTGTACTGGAAACACTGTTTAACATAGTTCTGTGGGCCTTTTCTAGGTCTTTCACATTATGAAGCCCACAACTTAATCCCTAAGGGGACAAAAGGGATGTAGATACACGCTATTGAATTAAAGTCCTGTGTCACGACCACTACAATCTATTGATAGGACATTTTGTTACCCGGTGTGGCCTTGTCTTAGGTAGCAAAAAAAAAATAAAAAAATGCAGAAGATCAGGGTTGAGTTAACAAAAATGCAGAAGCTCACAGCTGAGTTAACAACACTCTGCTGTTACAGCCAAGATGATATTTCTTATCCTATACCCCCCATCCCCTAAGAAAACAAAACCAGCCAAAGACTCTCTAAAGATTCAGTGGATAAAAACGCTTCCAAGGTGACCATGAGGCCTTCAGAAATGAGACCGAAGGTATAGACATGCCTGAGGTCCCCTGGCCAGTGAGAGGGATGCTCTAACGCAAATCATTCACTAAATGGCACTTCATCTTCAGACTTCTGGGGTATTTTGCCTCCAGCTGTGTTCAAATGGGCTGGTATTAGTACAGCTGTCATTTCTCAGTATAGAACAAAAAAGGTAGACATCCACAGAGATCTGTTGTGAAGCCCAGGTGTTAGCAGTCTGCCTCAGAGTTGGTGATACCAGTAAAAGCTTGGCAGCAGCACAGAAGATACATAGGTGTTTTCACGTTCAGCTTAACCTACACCATGAACAACACCAAATGGGAAATAGGTGAAAAGCTCAAGGAGGCTCTCATTAGTTAATTATATGATCTGCAGTTGCACACCAGCAATCAGTGTCCCCTGTTGCTTGACAGACACTTATTAGACCATTTCCAGTTGTCCCTGTACAAGGTACCAGGTGCAGCCCCATACCGGTTGGTACGATCAAAACCACATTCCAAGTGTGCACATCTGCTCATGGGGCTGGGCAAACTTCTTCTGGCACCTCTAGGCTCCAAGCCAGCAAAGAGGGCCATTAAGGCTTCCTGTTATAACTGGATCCTGAAGCATCCATCTGAGCTGCAGTTGGTACTTGTGGGCAGTACTGTCCACTCTGTGGGGCTGTGAGCAAGAAGGCAGAGTTGGGCTCTGCTCCTGCCAAGCTGGGCCATGGAGAGAAGCCCCTTTTCCTCGTCCTCACTCTTCTCCCTCCCTCTCTCTCGGTCTGTGAGCAGAGGAAAGCCTGTCTCATCCTGCTTGTATGTGCAGTGCCTTGCAAAATATGGTCTTGATCACATCTGTGGTTTCCAGGCTTTATTATAGGACATAGAAACAATGGGAGCTTTATTACCCTGAATGTATCATTTCTGTTTGAATGCTCCCTCAGCATGGTGTTCTGACTCCAGGCTTGCTGAAAGAGGCTCACACAGTAATTAAAAGATTGCTAATATTACTAATGCTGTTCAAAGCATAATTCCACATCAAAACTCTGCTGGGCTTTTGGGGCCATTTAAACATCCAAGTTTTATCCCACTTCAAATTCAGCTTCTGAACCTCCCCTCTACAGCGAATCAAACCAAAGGCCTGAATCCAACCATACTCTGAAGGAAGCTCCAGATTGTACAGCTTCAAGTCATCTTTCTATGTGCGAAATTTTATGCTGTACTTCTTTGTAGAACAGAAGTCCTTGGTCAAGTGCTTTTGTGCTATATCATGCAGAAATGCAATAAAAACAACTTTTCTAGTTGGTTTATAATCTGTGTTTATTACAGCCCCAACAATTCATACCCTGGAGATAAAACTGGTAAACCCCACTTCCCAATAGAAGTTTATCCCAACTAGAGCTGAGCAAGACAGTCACTCTGTGACCCAGCATATAGTTCTCATCAGAGAACTGCATCACATTCTACAAACTATGGTACCACTTTGCTTTCTCCCTCTTTCAGAGACGGAAAAGACAAGCTGCAGCTCTCAAAATCAAGTTAAAATCATTTTGCCCACCTCTTGCAGATTAAAAAAAAAAATCTGCTAATTAGCACAGTGAGGATCTGATTTTTATAAAAGCTCAGTTCCTATTTTGGCACAGAGCTAATTGGTTAGAAGTTATAAGAACTGTCTACACTGACTACTGGTCTCTTTCAAAATCTGTCACAGTGGGAGATGCTAGTTTGTGAGTACTTGTTAAAATCTGCCCTCACATCAACAATATTGAAAGGTTTTGCATATGGTGCTTACCTCTGGTGAGGGTCTGAATATGGCTGTTTACTGTCAAAATCAGAGGTTTTCTCAGTGGAAAACTGGTGTTGAAATCTAAGGTTTGAGTCAGGTATAGTACAGTCTTTGGAGGTTTTTCACATCACTGGTCTAGCAGGTAGGATACTGTTTTTCTTTTCTCCATTGTCTCAAACCAGTTTCTTTTTAACACAGGGAAAACTTTTCTTGGCATTCCATCTAGCCTTCTTAAGTCAGGAAGCGTTGACTGCGTTACACTTTCACTGCATTAATTCTGTCAATCTAATATGAGAATTAAATCAAATTTGCTGGTAAACATACCTAGGGCACACAGAAGACAGCTCTACCACGTTACAGGCATGTCATTTTTAATGAGCCTTCTGACTATGCATACTCTGTGTGTCCTCTCCATTTCACAATCCAAGAGTAAGAGCTGTCTTTTCCACAGGGAAACTGGCATTGAGTTTGTGGCAGCAAGAGGTTGTTTCCAAAGAGTAACATGAAAAGCCAGTTTATCTGTGCTATGGTCAATGTATCATCCTTCTCACACTTTTTGAGCCATTTTTTGAGAATGATGAATTGTAGTCATCACTACATTCAATTAATTTTACTCAGCTGGTTTTTATAGTGTGTTTGTACCAAGTGTCCTCTAGCAGCTGATAAATCATCCCTGAGTGTCTGCAGAGGTAGTGGCAGTGACATACACTGAACTGACGACAGGAATGTGTCACACCGTGTCTCTTGCCCTCTTTTTCCAGAAAGATTTTTGTGACCTTTGGTGGCATTTGAAAGAAGCTCTATTGATCTCTGTGTAGTATTAATCTTAAACAAACAGGCCATATAATTTATGTAAACTCCACAGGTAATTAAATTCCTTCCAGCAAAGGTCAGGGCAGAATATTTAAGATTTCATTTGAATAGAAATTACAGTTAGAAATGAAGGGGAGGAGGGAAGAGGGAAAAGAAGAAATTTGGAGCTTGTCATATCAATTATTACAGTGTAACTAAGAGGACTCAAGTTACTTCTCAAGTGCTAACATCCAGTCTTCATCATCTGTACACACAGTTTGGAAATGTTTGTCTAGAATGACTTATAAATGATTTTAAGAAATGTTCAAATATTTCTAATAGATAGTGAACAGAAATATCACCTTTTTTCAAAGAGATCTGAGACTGCCCTTCATAAATGAACAAACCCTAAACTCACAAGCCTGTCTTTGTAATTGGCCATGATTGTAGTATCCACTCTTCCTTCTCCAAGATCTCAAGGACCATGGAAAGTATTATTTTTCCGTTCACCTTCCAATTTCACAAATCTTTGGATTTCAGTGTTCAAGCTTGTCTTCCATCCATTTTAATTGGGCAAGTCCAGATGCTCATATGGAATCCATGGCTTCTGAGCAAGGACGTTGAACAACACAGACTACTGCATGATAAAATTTTGTGCTTTGAATATTGTCTTTTTTCGCTCGATATGTCCCAGACTATCAGAATGTGGTGCCATGCTTGGGAAAGACTTGCATAATTTCTACAACTTATCTGATGAAATAGTCTTTCTCTGAACAAAACAGAGGATTGTCACAGGGCTGAAAGAGGACCCAGGATGGGGACAGAGACATTCAGTGGGTGAAAACCTTGGAGCAACCCAGTCTGTGGAGATGGTTTCAGCAAGAGTCACAGTGACTTTCCCCTTCAGCTGAGAAGAGCCCACATTCACAGAGATGTCTGGGGTGTAAAGTACTCTCAGTCACAGAATAGTATAAGTGGTATAGGTAAGATTTTTCACAGAAACTCTTTATTGTCTTTTTCCCCTCATTGAATGACCTGTTAAGGTTGTCATGAAAGGGAGAAATGGCTGACCATCACTGAGAAATGCAATCCTGGTGTCAGTGCCATGACATTGCTCTGCACCCAGTAATTTGTGGAAATTATTGTGTAAAGGTAAAAACATTTGCCCCTATTCAGCAAGTGGTGACCACTAGGAATTCAGAAACAAAGAACACCTACAGCTACATCTTAAATACTGTCCACCAGCTGCTCTGAGGTAGCTGCAGCATCTGTTGCTGCTGCAGGTCTTGCTGCAGACCTCTCCCATCACAGTACCATCTGCCTCACCAGCTTTGTAGCAGCATCTTCCGTCTTGCAGCTTGCTACCCTTGCTCAGAGGCCCATATGCCTCTGCACTGCCTGTCTCTATTTCTGATATGATTGAAATCACATCTGCTCCACCACTGACTGCTGCTTTCATTATGGCTGTAATGCCATCCACCCTCTCACATTCTGCTGTTGTTTCTGCTATAATGACACTAACATCTGACTTGGATTTTGACACAGTTGCTTAAAACATCTGCCCCTGTGCGTACTTGAGGACACAGGTGTAGCTGGGCTGATATGAACTTAAGATTCACTAAAACCTGTGTTCTCTACCAGTGGCCATCTCTACACACTAATGGGGAAGATATAGGCACTCTATGATAGGCAGATGCGGGAAGATTGCTGATGATCTTTGCCTGCTCCTGCAGTTGGTGCAGCAAATACAGTGTTAGCTGGGATTTGGGAGAATTGGGTTCAGATTTCTTCTTCACAACCAATTCACCAACTAAATTCAAAAAGATTACTTAGGCATAGATCTATTGTGGAGTTTTACACTTCAAGTCATAGTTGCCAGTTTTCCGGTGGTTGGCTTCCACCATGAAAAAAACCTAAGTGTCCTTGTCTTAAAGTTCCCCACGCAATGGATGAGGAAAGTTACAAGAATTTTCAGGAATTTTACAGGAATTTTCTCAAAAGTTACACCACTGAGAAAAGGCCTCACAGGAAATGGAAATGACATGGGCACCTCCTTTCGTGTAAGATTCATAGTCTGAAACCATCCCCTAGAGGGGTGTGCTTGTTTCTTTTCAAAATGAAAGTGGGCCCAGTCCTTCTTTCCTAAACCACAGCTGACATGTAGTAG